CAACATTTTATATCGCTTGGAGGTGGTCGGACGGTCCCTCTGTCTTCCGCTTCACTTACGCAAAGTACTGTTCACGCAGTCTGCCGTCCCCACGGAGGCGCGGGTTTTTTAAAAAAAAAAAAAACCTGTGCATGTGCTTGCCTTCCCATGCGCTTGGGCGTACATACAAACTGTACATACAAACTAAAAAGACCAAAATAAAAGCTAGTGCTTGTTTGCACATGCGCATAACTTAAACCGGAAACACAAAAAAGGGGGGGAGGGTAGCGCGGTCATGGCAGATTGCTGTCCAGATACCAAAACCGCGGATACAAAGTGCAAGATATAGGGAAAACACCTGTTCCAACGGGTGTCAGAAAACACGGATAAAAAGAGCGGAAACCGCAGGACTCAGCCCGCTTCGGTGCGGGAGGCGAGTTTGCCAATATGAACAGGAAACTTTAATGCATGAGGGATCAGCAGCGAAGCCCGCACTAAATGTCCGTCTGACCTGACCCACAGTCACCGCGGCCCTGTCCACTGCTAGGGGTGCTTAAAGAGAGAGGACTGCCATCTATGTGCCCTGAAACATCTGGCTGGCCATTGTGAGAAACAGGATCCTGGAAAGGGGCCTTTGATTCACCCCCCGTGGAGATCTTCCTCTCTTATTCAGCTCCATTTCATGCTGGCATTCAAAATACCTCCCGTCAGAAGTCACAGCCACCTACGCACACTTTCTCGCTGACAATCGTGTGTCCAACCATTATTTGCAGAGTCATGAGTTGACAGGCATGGGTGTGCCAAACATTGACACTCTTGCAGGGAGGAGAACAGAACTAATTGGGGCGGGTCGTAAGCAATGTCAGGTTTGTGTGTTTAACAACCCATTAGTAGTCCTGCAGACTTCGGGAATTGTCACATCAAAGATATTCAAAACGTATGCAGTGCTTGAGCTCTGTTCCGCGGATTCATCGTTTTGGTTTGGCTCCTGTTCTTTGAGGACAGGTGCCTCCTTCAACGCCGAAGCATCTAGAAGAGGGAGAACTGGAAGGCCAACAAAACTGATGACTGATTGATCTTGTCACTCATTTGACTTGCCCTGTTTTTTCAGGGGATGAGAAAAACCCAGGACAGCACTACCAGGCTTGGTTGAGAGATCCTTTGAGAGTTCTGGTGTCATGGTCATAGATGGACAAAGGGTATGGTGGACAGCATAGCCTGGTATCCAGTTAGGAACATGCATACTGGATGGGGGATACACCTCTGGGTAGCAGTGTGTGTGAACAAGATCTTGGGGTACGGGTGGGCGTAATTTAAATATGAGCAGCCAGTGTGAAGTGGTGACAAAAAAGGAATCTTGGGGTGTATCAACAGAGGCATCACAAGATGTCATCGTCCCGCTGTACACTGCATGGGTCAGGCCGTACCTGGAGTCTTCTGTGCAGTTCTGGAGGCCTCCCTTCAAAAAGGATGTGGGCAGAATGGAACAGGTGCAGAGGAGAGCGACAAGGATAATCGGGGGCCTGGAGACCAAGAAGCCCTCTGAGGAAAGGCCGAGGGACATGGGGATGTTCAGTCTGGAGAAGAGGAGGGTTGGGGGGGATGTCAAATTGCAGCCAACATGGCAATCCTGTAGGGTTTTCAAGGCAAGAGATGAACAGAGGTGGGTTTGCCATTGCCTGCCTCTGCATATCGACCCTGGACTTCATTGGTAATCTCCTATCCAATTACTGACCAGGGCCAACCCTGCTTAGCTTCCAAAATCTGATGAGAACAGGCCAGCCTGGGCCATCCAGGTCAGGACAAAAGACAAAAGAGGTGGTCTGCCATTGCCTGCCTCTGCGTAGCAACCCTGGGCTTCCTTGGTGGCCTCCCATCTGAACACTAACCAGGGGCCGACTCTGCTTAGCTTCCGAGGTCTGATGAGATCAGGATGGGATGGGTCATGCAGGTCAAGGAAAGAGACAAACAGAGGTGGTTTGCCATTTGCCTGCCTCTGCGTGGCAACCCTGGGCTTCCTTGGTGGT